GTCCCGAGCTGATACTAAATCAAGAAGAAGCATAAGTTCTTCCACTAAACTCATTTATATCCATTGTAATCAAAATATTCTTTCGCTATTAGCATATATAGCATTTAGGATAGAGTCGGGAGTGCTTTTGATTTACTCTGAACTATAAACTTTTATGGAATCAATTCCAGCTTTGATGCAGCTTTGGGATGGTGGGCAACAGCTCATCCCGGTTTCACCCGTAAGGAGGAGGAATGTCTCGTGGACTGTGCCAACTGGAACTTAGTAATAAAACCAAGCGGTTGCAGAACAGCAGGAATTAGCCATCGTCTTCTGGGGAGATAGACCTGAGACTAGCTTCATCACGCACCGTCATATGAAATGAAAGCCTCCACAGCGATGTTAACTCGTCTATGTATTCCAAAAGAGCATATTTATTCGAACTGGACAGTATATTCCTCATTGTCCGAGTCCTAGTGGCATTCCAGGTGAGATTCGAACCGTAAATGTATAGATTTAAAAACAAACATGCAACTCATCAGGCTACACTAGCCTAGTCTCGTTGGATTACGCAAAAAGCCGAAGGTTTAAGTCTAATAAAGCCTCTATTAACCACACTCTTGTTTATGAGTTTTGTGTCAATAGACAGCCCTGAGTTTAAGAACTGAAAGTAAAGTTTGTAGCAATATGCTATGAGTTGGCCTCATGATACCATTAGATTTGAAATCAGGTTATACGCATCGTGGTGATATATTGCCACTTCACTAAACAGCCACGGGTCTCAGTGGGTCACAGGACAGATGAGGCTTTCAAGATGAGTTAAGTCTCTCACAAGTAACATATATATTGGATTTGCGGATGAGATAGATATGTATTTGTAAATACTATCTACGAAATTACTTAGATTCAGAATAAGTGTCCTTTAGAAATATTAGTATTTCATGACCTAGATAAGGTCCAAACTCCTCTTAACTGTGTATGAAAAACCTTTTTCGGAAGCGAGACTTGGTAAAATTCAATAGCATTATAATGCATACTCATATCATTTTGGGATAAACTACACTCCTAAGCTCCTATTAAGCTCTCTAGGAAGATTAGATTCTTTTTCTAGAATTAGTGATGTTTTCTAAAAGTAGTCTGGTCGAATGCCTGTGATTTTTATCGAAGATATGAAGACCAAAATCGTGTGGCCTTTTGGTCGCGGTTTAATAGACAATTGGTCAAAGGATAGAATTCACTTGTCTCTTTTGACGAGTTTTAGTGTGGTGCTAACAATGACAAGGCCCACTGACGATGCCAACTATGATGTCGGCGAAATGTCTGGGAATGTACCAAGTCAACGGTCCGACTCTGGAAATCGACATGCATACTATGGACTCCGGACAAGATGCATTCCTTTGGGTCTTCCTGTCAATATGATCAAGTTGCAAAATCAAGGTCAAACAACTAATAAAGAGTGATTTTGTTGGGGAGACTTTCCTTTCATATGAAAGTGCAAGACAAAGAGATTCGAAGTTTGATGCCACCAGAAGACGATGGCTGATTTCCGTTGTATCGCAACTATTTGGCTTTGCTAGGGCATTCTGGTTGACGCATTGCACGAGGCTTCGGGTGAAAACGGGTTGAGATTTTCTCCATTATACGCTGGACATCCTCAGAGCTTGAAATCAATCTTGTAAGAGTTTCAAGTTAAAATTAGATCAAGAAGATTGTCCGGCTCTATTTTATTTCTAATATAAACTCTTAACTTAAAAGCGAAAATGTATAGATGCAGATAAATATAGAATGGTTTGGCTAATTATCTTTCATATTGGTTATGCCATTTTTAGGTATCGTAAGGGATTAATCGAAACCCAGTCAATCGTCGTATCAACAATGAGTTGGCTTTTGCACCCAAAGAGACAATTACATCGAGCAAGTATTTTACTGATAAGCGCGAATGGAAAAAACTAACAAATAATTCCTTTGGACGAAAGTGATATATGATTGAAGGAGCAGTATTTTTGGCTCAGAAAACCGAACATCTACGATTCGAACCGAACTAAAGCTAGATAAAAAAAAAGCAGTCCAGCCTGAACGAGAATGGTCTTGAGGGATGCTTCGATTATGTACACTATGGGGTAAAATGTAGCGTTTCTTAAAGCGAAGAATCCCTATCGTTCATTGAGCATCAAAAGAAGCTGACGCGATAGCGATTCTGTACGGGTTTCGGAGTCCAAAACATTAGCCCTTTGACCACACACCCCTTGCACTCCTTGCATTATTTGGTATTCATTTTATATCGAAGTTGTTGTTGTTGTTCGAGTGAATTGGCTTTTTGAGTTTAACAGCAAACTCTACGTTATACGACGTGAGCATTTTTTTGAAGACAACACTAATTAGTGACCATTAATCAACGACGATAATATTCCATTTAGTTGCTACACATCAAGGATTAACATCCTTCGTCTTTGGCTTAACCTTCTGTCATTCAAGCAAGGTTAGCCCATAAGTATTTAGATATGGTTTTGTAGAGACTTATACAGAAGTTATACATTCTATTTCTGCGCCTTACCTCGGTACCTCATCTTCGTGCCTTGACTTCCCTCCCCCTCCTGAATCTCTAGACCACAGACTTGCAGCATTTCGAGAAACAATAGAATTTAAACACCTCGAACCCGGGAGGTCCCCATTCAAGCAGAATTTTATCTCAACAGATATTTCTCTTTTATACAACACAGCCTGCTCTTACATTCCCAGTCATTATGGCTCCTCCGAAAGCACCAACTACATCTTCACTTGCATTACCTTATCTTGCCAAACTTTTGGGATTTACTTTTTCCCATCCGTAAAGGATTGCAAAGCTCTTGTAGTCGCGACGTTAAGAGCACATAAGTCCCTAGAATGCCTCTTCAGTTGGCTAAGGTTTGCATCCAGAATCAAGCGGTTTGTAAGGAAAGTCTTTTCGCTGCATCACTTACCATTGCAGAGACTTCTCCGTCATGCTGCAGGAATTCGACTATTTTTTGCTTGTGCATGGGCTCAACACGCGCAAACAAACGGGCTCTTCGGCAGGCCTCACGTTGTTCTTCAATTGGGAGGTCGTCGAACTCGCGACCTGTGAACGCTTTCCCTGTGGTTGGTTCATCCTCACCGAAGATGCCGATGCGTCGGCAAATGGCTTCGGCAGTGGCTTTGTTGTCGCCGGTTATCATTATGACCCGGATACCGGCCTTGCGGCACTTCTGGATGCTGTCGAAGACCTCTGTGCGAGGAGGGTCCAACATGCCGACTACACCGACGAAAGTCAGATTGTTCTGGTGGAGGAGGCGAAAGGGGTGAATAAATGTAAGATAGGCGAGAAAATAGGAGAGTAATTCTTATTGATGGGATCCTAGTTTTTAAGTCGAAAAGAAGGCATGTTTTCCTTTTTCTCATGTCTGTAACTACTACCGTCTGGAAATCGTTTGTTTTCAGAAACCAAAGAGCGTTAACATCTGATGGGGTTAAAAATAAATAAAGCATTACTAGATGCCTTTGTGGTAGAATGAGTGAAGGTATAGCCAGCTACGATTACTATCCTATTTGATAGTCTCTTTGATTTTTCATGAATATCACAAGCTCTTCTATTTCTTTTGGTACCCTCATTAAGTAAACCAAATGTCAATTAAATGTAGCGTCATCGGCAGAGCCAGCGGGTGAGGCAACGAGAAATGTTAAATTCTAAGTAAGAATCTCGTAAA